TGCAGGAGCAGACAGAAGGCGTGGAGGCTGTTAAGACAGTTGAGCAATAATCCCTCACAAAATAATATCCATGCTATTGCTAACATAAAGACAGATCAGATAGTGCTTTAACTTCTGAAGAATGGGAAACCCAACCTTTCCACCAAAGTAGGAAGGAAACCAATGGTCAGACAACCAGATAATGAAAACAACAACCTTCATGAAGCTTTTACATCTACTAAATTAGAAATGGCTCTCAATAAATGTAAAAATGGAAAAGCAGCCGGCCTGGATGATCTACGGATGGAACAAATTAAGAAATTGCAAATAAGTAAATTTCTAGTTCTTACAGAGGGTGAAAAACCCTTCAAATGTAGTGTCTAGAATAGATGCTTCCTAATGTTTTAGCAGCAGGAAATTGGTTTTCTATTCCTATTTTTTAAAGATAATGTTCATTCTTCCAGTGTATTTGCAGTTCCAGACTGCTTACAACAAATTAAAAGCACTGAATAAAACATGAAATGGTAATGCTGTGATAAAATCAGCAAGGAGAAGGGAAATACAGCTGGGAATATAGCTTAGGGATGAACCCTGTATTCACTAACCTGTGAGTAACCACCGTTGAACACAGTGCTTTCTAATATGAAAGAATGTTGGGAGGTGCTGTGGGTTAAATAATGATTGAGAGGCACATTGTTTTGTGCAGTTTGTAAGAATGTTGCAACTTGGGTGCATCTACACTACAGAATTAATGCAGTTTGACACCATTTTAATTTTCATGGCTCAGTCCTGTAGAATCATGGAGGCTATCATTTTACAAAGTGGGGGCCGTGGGGGCACAATGGGTTAAACCCTTGTGCCGGCTGAACTGCTGACATGAAGGTCGGCAGTTTGACGTAAGACAGGGTGAGCTCCCATCTGTCAACTCCAGCTTCCCATGCGGGAACATGAGAGAAGCCTTCCACAGGATGGTAAAACATCCAGACATCCCCTGGGCAACATCCTTGCAAACAGCCAATTTTTTCACACCAGAAGTGATTTGCAAGTTTCTCGGTTCGCTTCTGACACGATTAAATTTTTTTTGCAAGGTCTTTAGCCTTATCTGCCAAAGAGTGTTGGTGTCTCACCAAATTAAAACTCCCAGGATAGCATTGAGCCATACTAGTTAAAGTGGTGCCAACATACATTATCCTGTGGCATAGGTGCACCCCTTGTAGAGGGCTTTACTTTATTTGAGATTGTACAGATCATACTGAATGTATCTCATTTTGATTTGCCAGTGTTCTTGGCAGTGGGAATAAGGAGAAAGTTAATGACAAGCAGAAAGATTTAATTATCAGTTATTGTGTGAGTGCATCTTCCATCCATCCAAGATGGAATAGCCAGGAGTGAGAGATGATAGAAATTATTTTCTGCCAGGCATGCTGTATTTTTCCAATTCATTTTCTCCCTTCCCTAGCCAGAAGTGGCATTTTGTTTGCTGTGGCCATTTTTAATTGCTTATAAGCCACCTTGGGTATTTTGTAAGGAGAAAGGGGGATGTCAATAAAATGAGTATCAAGAGGTTGTAAAAGTCGCAGATCCAATAACAAGAACAACTTTATTTTTATACATATATATTTATATATATTTTAAACCCCGCCACCCTCTCCCCGGAGGGATTCGGGGCAGCTTACGAGGGGACAAGCCCAAAAATACAGATTAAAACACAAACAATACAATAAAATGAAAAAAATTAACATTACAATCACAGTGCACATTTTAAAAACAGTATAATGGCTGAAAGATTAGGTGCTGAGTGCGGAAGGATCAGGAAATGTGCAATCATTCCTATATAGAGCCCAGGGAAAGTGCAAAATACGATTCAGTTCAGATTGGGTCACAGCTGGAAGGGTAATGTCCTTAGGCATTTATAGTAACAGGATTACAGGTGAGAGGGCCAACAAAAGTACAGAGGGCTATGGCAAGATCAATCCAATTCTCTGGTGAAATTCTTAATCAAATGCACAGAGGAACAGCCCGGTTTTTAACTCCTTGCGGAAAATGGAAAGGGTAGGCAGCAATCTGATCTCTTTGGGTAGTGGGTTCCAGAGCTGAGGGGCCACCATCGAGAAGGCCCTCTCACGTTTCCACCAGCCGTACTTGAGATGGCGGCGGAAGCGAGAGCAGAGTCTCCCCAAATGATCTTAAAGTACATGCTGGTTCGTAGGGGATAGTGATTCACCAGTTTAGCAGAGGAAAATAAAGTATCCTAAGAACTCCCTGTTGCTTTCAGACTGTCATCCTACATTCCAACTTAATAGAATCACTAATTGATTTTGAAAGGTAGTGTCGTGTAGTAGTTTGAGTGTTGTTCCACAGCTCTGGAAACCAAGGATTGACGTGAAAATCCACTGAGTGTCTTTGGACAAGTCCACACACGCAATCCTAGAGAACCCTTCAGATACAACTTGAAAACACACAACAATAACAACAACAACAATTCTACACATAATGGGCTGGTGGGGGTTTTGTTACCAAAATGCGGGGGGACCAGTTGGATGGATTGGCTTTGATAGAGCTATGGATATACTTTCAGTCCCAAGATCGGCTGAAGAACCTGGGAAGAGGAGTGGGCTGGTTTATTCTTACACATCTGGATATATGTCCACTCGTACTAGATGCGAGTGTTTGAAACTGGTGTTGGGCCAGAGATATATTTTAGGCATCCTGCTGATATACCAACTTTGTGCAATCCCTGAATCTTGGTATTAAGGAATGTAAATCTTCTCTTGCTTCATTCGTGCATGCCAAAATCAATAAGTTTAAAAGCTTTCTCCCTACTAGGTAAGAATGGGGGGAAATTGGCACATATTTTGATAATTGTTTGTAATGTTTGCCACCCCCAAACCTTTGCATATTTTGCACAGAACATGGTGTTCTGCATTCAAACCTTTGTTTTTTTTCCTGCCAATAAGCCCACTCTTTTTCCACAGTATACGTAAAAGGCCATCAAATATGAGAAATGCAGAGACATTTGGCCAGTTTGCTTGGCAGGATATCTTGGTGCATAGACATTATTTCTTATTGTGTACTAGAAGATTTCCAAATCTTCAGATCCCGAAGTCTTACCCAGGTGATTAAAGCTGACATATTACAAGCACTCAGGACATGGTTACTGATGTCTCAATATGCATTTTTATATTAACTAAGAGGCTTTCTTATTCCCTTTGCCCGATTTAGCTAAGGAAAAGATAATACAGGATTTCTGGTTATTAGATTTTTATCATTCAAATTAAATTTCAGAATGGTCTTAAAACCGTAGGTTTTTAAAAGGCCCTAATTGAAAGATATGGGACCATGTTGGTGCAGCGGGTTAAACTGCTAAGCTGCAGAACTTGCTGACCGAAAGGTTGGTGGTTCAAATCAATGGGACGTGGTGAGCTCCCATTGTTAGCCCCAGCTTCTGCCAATCTAGCAATTTTGAAACATGCAAATGTGAATAGATCAATGGGTACTGCTTCAGTGGGAAGGTAACGGTGCTCTATGCACTCATGCCAGCCACATGACCTAGGAGGTGTCTACGGACAACGCTCGCTCTTCTGCTTAGAAATGAAATTGAGCACCAACCCCTAGAGTCGGACTCGACTAGACTTAATGTCAAGGGGAAACCTTTACCTTAATTGAAAGATATAGTTTTGAATGCTAATAACACATCATCTCATAATCAACAAATATTAGGGAAAAGAGAGATCATCTGATTAGTTTTGCTGGTGGTATACTGGACATATCCAGTCCTGCTTCCTTGCTATAAGAGCTATCCATATTATATAGCAGTTTGAGATTTATAGTTTGTTGTGGCACCAGCTCTCTCTGACAAGTAAATATCTCACCAAACTACAAATCCCAGGATTCTACAGCATTGAACCATGGCAGTTAATGTAGGCCCCTTCTACACAGCTATATAATCTAAATTATCAAATCGGATAATCCACATTATTGGTTTTGAACTGGATTATATGGGTCTACACTGCCATATAATCCAGTTCAAAATAGAAAATTTGGATTTTATATGGCATTGCAGAAGGGGCTGTAGTTTCAAACTGTTATAATTCTACAATATGGATGCACCCAAGAGTAAACATAAGGTCAGTGAATAGAGAATTTGTGGTTGATTTAAACATGAAGGGAAAGTCTAGATATATATGAAAGTTTGTTTATTTATTTATTTATTTACCATATTTGTATACCGCCTTTCTCAGCCCGGAGGCGACTCAAGGCGGTTCAAAGTTATCCCATTTACGATGAACTGAAAATTAATCTGAAAACAATTCAGAATAATTGTTTATTGTCTTTATGTCCATTAATGGAATTTGCCTCTCTGAATATATCCTAAGGTTATCTTAATAGTAGATGTTTACTTTTTAAAAATCATAATTAAATAGGAACTTTTTTTTCCAGTGATTTAAACTGTGATGTAAATCATTAAAGTGAGACCTGCAGACAAGTGGTTTGAATCAAATCAACCTTGCCACTAGTAGAACAGTTTAATGAACATTTAAGTTCTGAATTTAACCCTCAGGAAGATTCAGGCAAATTGGTCCATAGATAAAATGACTTCAGCCTACTTTACTCCTTTTAGGAGTATATTGGAAGTAGCTTATCTATCTCTCTTGTAGTTCCGTACACCTTCCACAAGAAGGCAGCAGACACAACAAATCACAGGCCTACCAATTGAAGGCCATTAAAAAAAACCTTTTTAATAAAACGTGTGCTGGTTCTATAGGAATTTGGTGTTCTAAATACAAAAATGATTGTGATCTGATTTTCTCTGTCATGTAATTTTTTTCCATAGCTTGTTTCGATGTTCCTATGTTGTAAAATATGAAATTTGTAATGAAATTTGTGAAAGAACAGTGTGTGGTACAACATTTTATTGCATTTTTTTCAGATTCAGCACTCACAAACACATTAGTAACAGGAATGTTTTATTGGTTTTAATGTATCATCTGGTCTAACATATACTTCCTCTTGTTTGCAAGATTGGAATAATTGGAGGCACTGGCCTGGATGATCCTGACATATTAGAAGGTCGAACAGAAAAATATGTTGATACGCCTTATGGAAAGGTGTGTATATTTTTTTGTCTTTTTGTTTATTCTTAAGCTTGCAGATTGCAGTAGTAAAACCTATGAGCATGGAGCACTTCTCTAGAAATTTCCATCCATTTTCTAGCCACTTTCTGTCTTAAACACACTATCTCATAGTACTCTCAGTTCTTGTGGGTTTTTTCGGGCTATATGGCCATGTTCTAGAGGCATTTCTCCTAACGTTTCGCCTGCATCTATGGCAAGCATCCTCAGAGGTGAGGTCACCTCTGACCTCACCTCTGAGGATGCTTGCCATAGATGCAGGCGAAACATCACGAGAAGTGCCTCTAGAACATGGCCATATAGCCCGAAAAACCCCACAAGAACTGAGTGATTCCAGCCATGAAAGCCTTCGACAATATATCTCATAGTACTTTGGAAGCTTGGTTGAGTTTTCAAATATTTGTAGTGTGGGTAAAGGAAAGGATCCACTACAGCAGTACTACTAGAAGTTAGTTGTTAGCAGTTACCATAGAATCACATAAAAGGATCTAGCAAATTCCTGAAGAGAGGACATCTCTAAGAATTTTCTAGGTCCACCAGAATGAGTCAAAAGTAACTTCTCATGGAAATCATTCATTTCAGTAGGATTTGATATTATTCAGAGTTTCTTGTTTCCATCGTAAGTTTAGGAATATCTCTCCCATGGATATGGGAGTTGTGCTATAAAATGCATATGGGCTATGAATTTCCCATTAATGGTCTATAGCAGTTATTCCCAACCTTTTTTTGACCAGGGACCACTCTCCAACATTAGTAGCAAAAGGGTTATGAATCAGTTTTGGTCAACTTTAGATTTGGTTTAGTTATTTGGGGTGCTGATTCAGAAAATTGCATTGGATAGATCACATCAGCTCTGGTTTCTGATACAGAACTTATGACATCCAGTAGTCACCATCTGCTCGTCCACAGAAAACCATATTTAATAAACCTTGGCACTATAAGAGGGTTTTGTGAGAGCATGTGCTCTCATTGCAGTGGTGTAGTAATGGTGAGGCCAATGACCATATTTTAGTTCTTGTGGTCCACAGACTACAGGTTGGGAACTAATGGTCTATAGCATGTCCTCTTTTTTCAGAATAACCCTGTAGTTGTTATGAGACCTGTATCACCCAGTAAGAAATCCAAGGAGCAAATATTAGGGCAAACTACAATAATTGTGCCTTAGAGGACAGCTTTTTGTAACTACTTTAATGTGTTCATTTTGATATTGTGAAATAATGCCTTTTAAGGAGGTTTTTTTGTGCTTATATCAAATTATGGCTATATAAAGTTATGGCTGTAATCTTGTGCACACTTACTTGGGCCCAACTCTCTAATACCTACATATGTAGCATTGTGGTACACCATGACTCTATTTTCCTCCTCTATAACATTCATAATAATTGAATGGCACTTAAGATTTTAGATTTGTTTTGGTTGCATCTTATAATCTTTCTTGGTGTTCATGTGTATTTTTCCTTTTTAAAATTTCAGCCATCAGATGCTTTGATTTTGGGAAAGATAAAAAATGTTGACTGTGTGCTTCTAGCCAGGTATGTACAACATTATTTTATATATTATTTTCTTACCCACACTTCCTTACCGGCTCCTGGCCCATGCCAAGGACTCCTGCCTGCCCCCCTGGCCTCCACAGACCCCTGCAGAGCCTCCAGAGCCACGCAGGCAGCAGCAGGCCAGGGAGGCAGGCCTTCCCTGCCGTGCCTCAAGCCGCTGCACTTCTGGGGCTCTGGCCCCCACTGGATGCAAATATTTTATTTTTTTATTAATATTTTCAAAAACCTGCAAAAAAGCGAGTCCCGCTAAAAGCAAACCACGAAGTAGCGAGGGAACATTGTATGTCATAAACATATGAATATAAAACTTGAGACTTTTTAAAAGTGAAAATATGTTGAGGTATTTAGGAAGGTCCTCAATTCATATGGTCATATATTGGATTGGGTTGATCAGCTCTGATCCCCAGTTTGTTTCCTGATGATAACTTCAGAAGGAGATGGTCATCCCCTGGGAGACACCTCGAAATCATTGACTCGTATTCTTTTCTTTTAAGCTTCCAACTCCAGTGACTTGTATTCAGGAGTGCAATTTTCAGCTGACATTTACCTTATAATGTGACAATGTACATATAAACATTGCTAATGCAAAGCCCAGATAGTCCACTTATATAACAACAATACTGTATCAACCAAACTGGCTGCCAGTATGATTTCATCCAATTTTAGTGGCTGGTTTTAACTATTGGAACATCAGAGGGCTTTGGGCAGAAGTTCTTTGAAAACCTGCTTTCTCCTGAGTGAGGTCATCAGCCTAACCACAGCCCAAAGCCATTGGCAGGCATCCATCTCTCTTGCTGGATTCCAAGTACAGTTAAGCTGATCCATATAATGGCAAAGGCCTTTTTAGTAGCAACCTCAAGCCTAGAATCAGTTTCCACTGAGAGTTTGTCAGTTTACTTCTTTGCAGGAGCAGTTTGCCAAATTTATTATTGCTTTTTGAATTATTAAAAATGTATTCCTACATTAAAACTGAATGCAAATTATATTTTACAAAACGTGTTCACAAGATATAAATACAGTACCACCCCGATGTCCACAGGAGACGTGTTCCCATACTTAGCCCAGTTAGTAAAAATCACAGATAATAATGAACCTTATTGAACAAATATCTTTTGGTGGAAGTATATAATATTGTCACCTAGGACACTGCTTCTTAAAGTATGGGTCCCAGCGCCAAATGAGGTCCCATAACAGAAAATTGGGGTTGTGAAATAACCATAAAAAGTTTCTGAGCACCACCAGTGGCTGATTAAGACATTTGCACACATCTGTTATGAATAAAATGCAGTATTTATTGTGAATTCTGCTAAAATGCTTCAACTGTACTTAAAAAAAAGAAAACCAACCTATTTAGCAAACCTTATAAATGCAAATCTATTATCAGTAAATGTTTGATTTTATAACTATTTTATATACATATACCCAGGGTCATTTTTTGGCTGGAAAGAGTTCACAAGTGGAAAAAGGTTAAGAAGCCTGACCTAGGAAATACCTAGAGGGGATATTTTATGGGTAAATGATACCATGGATACCACTCTTGGCACTATGGGGGTCATATTGTATATAAGTTCTACATAAATTATATAAAATGTATATCTTATGTTAAATGTGAATATAAAATGTGTAGATTACATTATATATTTAATATTTTATTGACTCTATATTGGAATATTATAATATGATTGCATTTCTTTTATCTTACACAATGCYTTGTCAGAATTTTACCTTGAAAGGAGCTTTAAAAGACATAAACATAAAAGGAACTAAGGAACTAARAACTGAATATCACCTTCCTTGAGTGTTTGGTGGGTAGATACAATAAAWCAAAGTCTCAGATAGATAGATAGATAGATAGATAGATAGATAGATAGATAGATAGATAGATAGATAGAYAGACAGACGTTCTTAATCCCAAAATGTTTATTATTTTATTTWTTATTTATTTAAAAGTTTTATATATTGACCTTCTCACCTCTCTTGAGGGACTCAGACCGGTTTCCAACCATAATATCACATACAGTTAATAAAAACATCATAATTCATATTACAATAACACATTAAAACAGCAATTTCATTCAATAACTACAATAGTCAGTTGTCACACTAAAATCGTTACATTTCAACATTCGAACCCAGAACCTCATGACTGCTACTGGGAGAAACTGGGAGTATTGTGAAATAACATAGCATTGAATGAAGTAAACTGGATAACTTGTGGAAGAACAACAAAAACAGGGAGTATGACATATGGATTCTTTGGACGGGGCCAAGCTTCTTTATACATTTCAGAAGCTTGACCTTTACTTCTCAAAAAGCATTACAGAATTCACCCTACTACTACAACTTGTATTGGTTGACTTGAAGGATCTTGACTGAAAAACCACCAGGTCTGAGTAGCTTTTTGTTGTGCTTTTCTACTTCATATTTTAGATCCATTGTCCTCACTTTCACTCCATCCTTCTTTTCATAGACATGGAAGGCATCATACAATCATACCAACAAATATCAATTATCGTGCCAATATGTGGGCTCTGAAGGAAGAGGGCTGCACCCACCTACTAGTGACTACTGCTTGTGGCTCATTAAGAGAAGAAATTCAGCCTGGAGATATAGTTATCATCGACCAGTTCATAGACAGGTAAAGGGGAAGAGGAGATCCTTTGTGGGGAGATAATGATCCCAAGATCTGAATTAGATCTTGGGATCATTGTGAGAAGTTCCTTTGCAAAATATCCTTATGTGGATACATTTCTGGTTGAACATCCATAAAGTTGTATTAAGACTTGTTTTAACTGAACTGCAGTTGACAGACATTTTTTAAAAAATCTGATTAGATTTCTCTAGTTTTCTGCTGGAATCTCTTAGCCCTGACTCAAAAATAGTATGGTTTTTTGAAAATTTTCCAAAGCCAAGAGAAGATCTACAAGATCTGTGCTTCTCCCAGTTGAGAGAAAGGACAGGTGATCTCTTTCATTTTTGCTGTCTATCTCTATCCTTTGCTATCTATCTCAGAGACTCGGTTTGTAAGATATACAGGACCAAACGAATCACAAAAATTATTCTGGCCTTATCCCCTTAAGCCCCAGGCAGCAATGCAACTTGAAATTATTATGGGAATGTTTATTCGAACTTTCTCTCCAGCCTTACTTCAGTAAGAGTCCATCACCACCCCCAGGTTTTCTTTTATCAAGCCCATGGATGTGTAGCATCCAGGAAGGAAATATATTTTTCTCAGAAAATGCAATTGATTTACTCCCCAAGCTGAACGTGGAAGACCGTGTGAGTCACACTGGAGGTTACACATTCTTATTAATAGACTCTTTTACATTGCTATCAGCTGCAGAAGGTCTTTTTCTTTTCATTTCTTTTCTACATGAAAATTGTGCTGACTGGGGCTGACCATAGGAAGCTCATAACTCCTTAGCTGAAACAGTTGAGCTGCCTACCAGTTTGTTTCCGGACACAACTCATGGTTCAGGATATGACTGATAAAGTTTCATATAAGCTTAATATAAACTCCCTGAAAAACCGTGTTGCAGTATATGAGTCTGCCCTAATCTTAAATTTCACAGAGGCAAGGTTTCCTTCAGTGCCACCAATTTAACAACCACGTCTGGTGAGGATACTTGAGAAGATTGTCACAATATGTTGTTGAAGGTTTTCATAGCCGGAATCACTGGGTTGCTGTGAGTTTTCCAGGCTGTATGGCTATGTCCCAGAAGCATTATCTCCTGACGTTTTGCCTACGTCTATGGCAGACATCCTCAGAGGTTGTGAGGCTTGTTGGAAACTGGGCAAGTGAGGTTTATATATCTGTGGATTCTCCAGGTTAGCACTCCAACAGGCAAGAGTTCTTTCTCGCACCCTGAACATTATTCCACAGATATATAAACCTCACTTGCCTAGTTACCAACACCCCTCAACCTTTGAGGGTGCCTGTCATAGATGTGGGCAAAATGTCAGGAGAGAATGCTTCTGGAATATGGCCATACAGCCCGGAAAACTCACAGCAACCCATTGTCACAATAGTTTCTCCCAGTCACAGTGTAGGATGGAAGAGCACTCTACTTTAATTGTTACTATATTTTAATTGCTTATGTATTTTAATAGGATAACCTTTTATTATTTTTTTTAATCATCAGGATTTTAGCTGTAAAGTGTGACCCCTTTATCCACTGATTCAATGTCCGCAGTTTTATTTATCCACACTCCAAAAATATCCCCTCTTTGGAAATGTTTGTGGGATTCTCAAGGTTCTTTCGTGCAATTCTATGGTATGCTTCTAGCTGAAATACAGTAAAAAGGGTTCCCTATTATCAATTATTTCAGTATCTATTAAACATCTTGGGATGTATCCTCATGAATATGGAAGTTGCATTGTATATTGTTTTAATCTGAGTTTTAAGGCATGTGGGTTCTGTGCTAGGAGAAAGGTGGCATCTAGACTAAATAAAAGAGATAGACGGTTGGTTTCTAGCTAAGATAGAGCAGTCATAAGAGGAATGAAAGTTATTGAGGTCCAGCTCTCCAAATTCATGAATAAATCTGTAGAGAATAATTTTTGTTGTGACTTATATTTTCCTGCAGAAGCTAGGGTTTTGATAGAAGCTAAAACCTGGCCTAAGACTTCCTCATTTGCTAACCGTGAACATGCACCTGAAGCATGACATATACAAATTTCTCTTACATAACTAATATCATACTGAAATCAGGTCAGAAAGAGACCTTTCAAAAAACCTCTTGATGCTCCTTCACACTTTGAAAGCAAAATGGTTGATGTTAATGAATGCTAACAAAAGTGACCTTCCTGTGATGAACAATGGCTGCATCTACACTGTAGAATAAATGCAGGTTGACACCCTATGCCATGGTTTATCAGATTGTATTGATCATATGTTATCTGTAATGAGACATTGCAAGTCTCACATTCGATGTCATACATTTCTCTCCCCTCCATCAATTTTACATAAGAGTAATCCTGGAGCAGTTCAAAAAGCCACCTGATTCAGCAGATGCACTTTGGAAACCCATCAGATGAGGGCAATAACCCCTTCCAATGGTGAACCTAGTTTGCAGGGAACCAACAGTTTTGAGTCTCCTGAAGTATGTAGCTTGAATCAGAGATTAATCAGTATATGAATTGCCTGTCTACTTAAGATGACCCCATACATTTCATAGGGTTTTCTTAGGCAAGGAATAGTTAGGTTTTGTCAGCTCTTTCCTCTAAAATATAACCTCCTATCTAACTGTTTACTGGGATTGACCTTGCTTAGCTTCCAAGATCACACATGGAACATGCCAACTTTAAAGTAATCAAGGTACAGGCATGATATTGGTACTGTAAATACATATATTCATAAGGTTTGAAGTACCTTTTACATCAAGGTCAGCTGCCTTAGACATTGATAGATTATTAAGAGATTTGTAGATCAAAACACCTGAAGGATACCTCAGCCTGATTGTTAATCCCAACTGTAGTAGACCTAATGATATTGAAGTAGGAGGATATACATAAAGGTTGACTTTCAGCATTCAGCAAATGAACCAATGGGTTTCCTTGAGATTGATCTAGCCCAGGCATCCTCAAACTGCGGCCCTCCAGCTGTTTGGGCCTCCAACTCCCAGAAGCCCAAGCCAGCTTGTTCAATGCTCTGGAATTCTGGGAGTTGGAGGCCAAAACAGCTAGAGGGGCACAGTTTGAGGATGCCTGAGCTAGCCATTATATTTCGACTGTTGTAAATTATCCCTCTTCCGCCAGCATCCTTCTCCTTTTCTTTAAAACGTTTTCCTTTTCAGAACCACGCAGAGACGCCTCACTTTTTATGATGGGAACCATTCCTGCCTTCCAGGCGTATGCCACGTGTCAATGGCTGAACCCTTCTGTGCCAAAACAAGAGAAGTTAGTGGCCTTTACCTTACTGAAAATTGTGCCTGTGTTTAGGATCAGAGTAGCTTTTGCATGAGCTGAAAATAACTTCACATGCACATGTACAGTTGCGGGAAAAGTAGTATGTTACAGTGTCACCTGTTTTTCTTCTTTGCAACAGCTGAAGTATCCTAAATGGTACTCCAGAGGAAATAACAGTTTTTCCAAGTTGGCTTTTGGCAAAGTATTTATTACAGCAGATTTTCTACCAAATGCACCACCAGGGCACCTATCCATACTGTATCAGTGAGGGTTTTTCCATAGGAATTATCAACTGTACAGTGACTGCCTTCATTCATTAGTAGTAGTAGTTGGTATTATTATTATTATTATTATTATTATTATTATTATTATTATTATTATTATTATTATTATTTCTAGACCATCCTCTCTCCCCAGGAGGACTCAGGGTGGTTTACACATAAAAAGGCAAATATTCAGTGCCACAAAATAGATACAGACTCTGTAAGGCTCCTGCATAAACCAGCTCAGGTGGTCCCAGTACTGGTGGTAATCGGCACACTGGGTTCCATGCCAAAATACCTCAGCCATTATTTGGAAATAATAAACATTGACAAAATCATGATCTGTCAACTGCAAAAGGCCACCTTACTTGGATCTGTGTGCATCATTCAAAAATACATCATACAGTCCAAGACGCTTGAGAAGTGTTCGACTTGTGATTTTGTGATACAAAATCCAGCAGATAGATCTTGTTTGCTGTGACATAATGTGTTTTTGTGTCAGTAAAATAATAATAATAATAATAATAATAATAATAATAATAATCTTTATTTCTAGACCGCCCTCTCTCCCCAGGAGGACTCAGGGTGGTTTACACATAAAAAGGCAAACCTTCAATGCCACAAAATAAGTACGGACACATCAAAATAATATAAAATAATGAAAATTAACAACAGAAAACTAAACAACAAAGGAATTAAGTATCAAAATAAAATAAAAACAAGAACAACCGTCTAATACACATACATTAGCCAGCAGTCCTAATCCTCCTCCTCTCCATACACTAAAGTGCATAAGTATGTTTTTAGAAATTTCTTAAAGGGGAAGAGGGTGAGAACTATTTTATTTCTTTAGGGAGGGAGTTCCAGAGATGGGGAGCAATCACAGAGAAGGCCCACTCTCACATGCGCAAAACTGCATATATACACATACACGAATATATACACACACAAAACACATATACACAGACTGGGCCACAGCAACGCGTGGCAGGGGACCGCTAGATATATATATGGATGGGACTCCTAGGCCCATAATCCTCATGTGGGTCCTGTAGCCCTTCCATGAATATAATTTCAGCTGGAAAAGAAATGCCATACCTGTAATCTTCAAGGAGGTGAAATTCTTTAATCAAAATTTAGTATATTCCCATTCTTATACCCAACATCTCTCCAGATTTTATATAAAGAAAGAAATCAGGTTTGCAGTTTAATTTTTTGGGAGTTGGTGCAGCCTGCCATAAGTTCTGGGATGGTTATCTCACCCCAGCCTACTGACTTTCCACACCATTTCTGCTGTTGGTGTATTTCCAGGTCCTTATGGATGTTGCAAAGAAGCTTGGGATCAAGTGCCACTCCAAGGGGACAGTAATCACCATTGAGGGGCCACGTTTTAGCTCTCGGGCAGAGAGCCTGATGTTTCGCAGCTGGGGAGGAGACGTCATCAATATGACTACAGTTCCTGAGGTGACTCTGGCCAAGGAAGCTGGCATCTGCTATGCAAGTATTGCTATGGCAACAGATTACGACTGCTGGAAGGAACACGAAGAAAGTGTGAGTCAACTGCTTGGTTAACTTCTGGATTATCTGTGTTTGAATCATATTTTACATTGTGTATCAAATCTGTGTTTCTTTTTAAAGCAATTGACTCTTCCAAACTGAATAGCCATATTTAATGGTTAATTTGGACCATATAGCTGGCATGTATTTAGAGGTATTCCTACAAGCAATGAAAGGCATCTGTTTATCCTAGTATGTAGATTTTATCGCATTCACATTTTACATTCCACATATTTTGGGATTCGTCACTAGGATTATTAAAACTTAACCCTTTGAATTAGAACTTTACACCTTGGTACGCTGTATTTTCTACAGCTTGAAATGAAATAATGGTGTAGCTCTTTCCCCACTTGATGATTATATTATGCAGTATCCATGGTTTCATTTTTCCCATATCCATAGTTTCATTTATCCACATCCAACGAAATATGTCCTCTTTAGGAATTTTCTAGGCCCTCCAGTATGAGTGTTATATTCTTGGGCCAAAATTCCTTCATTCCGATATGATTCTCTATTATCCATGGTTTCACATATCCATGTAAAGTCTGGAAATATTTCCCCCTGTGGATACAGGGGTCAACTGTCATGATTTTTGTCTATAACATATTTCCATTGAATCAATGGAAATGTGGTAAAGCAATGCAATTGTTGTTATTCAGTGGACCTACTCTAGTTGGGGCTAGCCATTGTTGTCACTGTCTGTGTTTTCGACATTAAGTTTCTCTCATTGTTTACTCCCCCGCCCCCCAAAGTTTACTTCCTGGTGAAACTGGTACTAATCCAAGAATTTAATGCCATGATAAATCTGGCATTCTGTTGTTTAATCTTAACTAGAGTAGGCCATTCAGTCAATTGTTGAATAGAGAAGTCAACACATAGATAAATCTGATGGATTCAGTCAGTCTATTTTAGACAAGAAGTAGAGACTCAGGGCCTCCAGATCTATTTGCCAGCCTCAATGGCCAATCGGAGGGCAGCAGGACAATCCAGATACCATGCCTCGCCAGCAGGTGATGCTTCCCCATCACACATGGGGAGGCGTTGCCATGCTGCTCCCCCCCCCCCCCGCAGTAGCCCCATTGTTCCAAGTGGTACGTGGGGAGGTTCCTTAGGACACTTCTGCCCAAGTTTCCACATGTGATGATGTCACTAGAGATCTCTTATTCATAGAGTTGCCATAAATCTAAGTTGACTTAATAATTGTTAACAACAAATGTTAGTCTTTATGATATCATCATCTTTTTGTTCTTCTCTACAACAGATTATACTGCTTTGGAAATACTTTTTCAAAGGTTACCCTTGTATGAGAACATGGCCCTTGCTAACAAATCTCCAGTCTAAATCTTATCCTCACGGTGAGAGAAATCCTGTATCACATTGTCAAAATAGGGATAATTCCAGTCAGCCTTTGCAGGGTTATTAGAAGGAATGAAGAAGAATGTAGACAACTATAAAAGTTGGGGTGAGAAATACGAGGGCCATTCCCTATCCCACCTTACACATAGAATCATAGTTAGAAAAGATCACAAGGACCATCTGGTCCAATCCCATTCTGCTATGCAGGGACAAACAAAGCACTCACCATCCAACCTCTGTTTAAAAACTTCCACACTCCAAGGCATAGCTGCAATGTAGCACCTACTGTCAGGAAATTCTTCCTAATGTTTAGGTGGAATAGTCCATAATATGGCCAAAATTTGAGACTTCCATTATGGGTCATGCACTGTGTATTTTTTGAGTATTTGCATTATGCCACCCAGACAGCAGCTTTTGGTCATTTGGACAATGTTCACCCCTCCATGGGTTTTTAAAGGGATTCAGGGGTGTGGAGGCCCCTGAAGCTAATGAACTACAGCCTGCAGCTTTCCCATCCCAGTCAATATGGTCACCCTTCTACTATGACTCACTTGTGAAATTTATATTTAAAAAGGTAGTGTACATTTCACAATTAAGTCACTGCTGACCTGCACCAAACAGATGTGAAAACCCTGAGTCCAAATATAGCATCTGTTGATGAGTGTAGTTTGTGCAGATGGTTTGCAAAAGTTCCTGGAAGTTTAAAAATAAATATAGCTCATGATCACTCACATGCATTCTTCAATATATTCCGAGCTGTTTAATAGGGAAAATCACTCTTTAAGTTTCATTTGCTCTAGCTCAGGCATGGGAGGGAGAGTGAAAAAATAATGTACCCCCCTAAACGATAAACTTTATATTAAATATATTTCTGTGTTATTTATTGTATTTGTTTGTTTTGTTGTAAGCTGCCCCGAGTCCCTCCAGGGAGAGGCGGAGGGGCATAAATAAAGCTGCTGCTGCTTCTTTTACTACTTCTTTTATGCATCATTTTGTGACACAGTAATTCAGTTTTACTAGCAAAACAGAGGTTAAACCAATCCCTTATAAGGAATATGGCCACACATAAATTCTCATAATGAAATGTGTGGGGACACAACATATCTCATAAAAACATTTCATTTGTGTATTTAAAAATATATTATTTACTGCTTAGTTTACACAGACTCAAAGGATTCCCGTTAGGTTTACACAAGACACCTACACACTACAGCTGACACACTAATGTGCCACGACACACAGTTTGGAAAGCTCTGCCCTATAAAGTAGACTCACTGAACACATGGTTGATTGGTAAATCAAAACATAGGTAAACTCAATTGATTTAATGGCTCTACTCTAGTCAGGTCCAGCAATAAAATTTAGCCTTTATGTACCGTATGCCAGGGTGTAGAAAAGCTCCTTTCTTGGACCACAGCTCTTTCAGAACCTCCCAGATAGGCAACCATGCTTGATGGATGATCTTGGGAACTATAGTCCAAATCATAATTTCCCAACCTCTGGACAGCAGAGGCAGGTTAGTAATAAATATGTAAGGGCGGGGGGGGGGGGGGGGAAGTATTTAAATCTAACATCACTAGACTCTTTCAATATCTTTGAATAATCTAGAAGTGGGTTGCTGTGAGTTTTCTGTGCTGTATGGCCATGTTCCAGAAGCATTTTCTCCTGACATTTCACCCACATCTATGGCAGTCATCCTCAGAGGTTGAGGGGTCTGTTGGAAACTAGGTAAGGGGGGTTTATATCTCTGAAATTTCCAGAATGGGAGAAAGAACTCTTGTCTGCTTGAGGCAAGTGTGAATGGTGCATTTAGCCACCTTGATTAGCATTGAATGGCTGCTTCCTGCCTGGAGGAATCCTTTGTTGCCATATCCTCAGTAGATTTATTTCTCTTATTTGATTGCTGTAGGACCCTTCCACACAACCATGTAACCCAGTATATCAAGGCTGATAATCCACTGTATCTGCTTTGAAATGGGTTTTCTGAGTCCACACTGCCATATAATCCAATTCAATGTGGATTTTATACAGCTGTGTGGAAGGGATCACAGTTGACTTCTATTCCAAGTGGGATTCAAAATAGCTTACAATATAAGCTAAAGCAAAGCAGATATAATATGCAGAAAAGAAGTTTTAAAGGTACCTTATATACTCTAGTATAAGCCAACCCGAATATAAGCCGAGGCACTTGATTTTACCACAAAAAACTGGGAAAATTGATTCGAGTATAAGCTGAGGGTGGGAAATGCAACAGCTATTGGTCAGTTTCAAAATAAAAATAAATACCAATTAAATTACATTAATTGAGAAATCAGTAGGTTAAATGTGTTTGAATGTTTACATAAAACTGTAATTTAAGATAACTGTCCAACTCTGATTAAATCATTATCCTTCCAATAATAATAAAGAGTAAAATAATAAATGTAATAACAATAATAATAGAGTAAAAAAATAATTGTAATAAAAATAATACTAGAGTAAAATAATGTATATGTAATAATAATAATAATAATATAGTAAAATAATAAATAATGTTGACTCGAGTATAAGCCAAGGGGGGCTTTTTCAGCCTTAAAAATGGGCTTATATTCAAGTATATAAGGACTAAAACTAGATATAAGTTATTGATTCCATTGTTATGACCAATCCAAAGAAAGAATCTGTAGCTATATGTAGTACCTCTTGTGAAATAGCATAAAGAACATGAAGACATGCACACAAGCTTGTAAATATCCATGTTTTTACAGACAAATATAGTCAGGTATACCAACAACCACATTTAACCTTTTTAGGTTATATTATTGCAGGTGTATTTATCATTTGAAAGTTGACCATATAGCCATGCCAAAGGATCTGGAGATTCCTAGAGAGGTGTTTGCTGAAATTAAAAAATATTTTTTTTATTATTCATGGTTTTCCCACTTTTATGGGGATCCTGAATGCCTAACCCCTATGCAAATGGAGGGCCTACTGCAAATGTATACATTACCAATAAAGTTCATTGTTAAACTTTATTTTAAGCCATGCCTCCAATTTTTAATTTTGGAGCCCATTTTCCTAATGTTCTAGAGTTTGAACTGCTGAAAAAATTAGGCAGCATTCACAGTGGTTGGCTTCTCGGTTTCATTAATTGGTGATTGTAGAGTAAGCAAGTGATGATTTTGTCCTGATCATCTGTATTTCATCATGTAAAAGTCGTTTGAAATGAGTCAGCAGCTGAGTCCAAAGTGGGTGTTCACATTCCTCTTTTTTCAGGCAATAGATGTAAGATATTTTTGTAGGCAATAAATCTAAGAGTTGCCATATGCATGTCCACTTTTGCAACTCAGCTTATTCGCCACAGATCCTTGGAGTAGCAGTGGAAATTTTGAGATCATGGGAACCAGATGAACAAAGTCACTGTGTGAATGTTTTGGGTAACATGAGTATTTTGAAGATAAATAAGAGTGGGATGAGAGGAACCTGTTTTTGAGGGGTACCTGTTTTTGAGGGGTATAAAGGCTCGTCGTGTGGCCAAACAATATAACTGGACAACAGATCCCACCGCTGCCACCAATTATAAAGGCTTTCACTATGGCCGTCTGGGCAGGGGGTCAAACAGATCCCACCAACTGCCACCAATTATAAAGACTTCACAC